AAAAAGAGGGACGTATGCATTTCTCTGCCGGCTTCCAAACAAACCTGATATAGCTCGGGCAGGTAAATCAAGAAACCGGCTTGACTGCTGCCAGTCAGGACTCAGATGAGTTTCGCCCAGCCTGCAACGAGCAAGGCATTTGTCACAAGGTTGAAGTCGGCTTTATGCGAATCCTAATGGACGGACTTGACTTGATGCAACCTGATGCCTGTCGCACGCACGCCTGGGGTCAGAGGATTTACTTTGGGAAAAGCACCCATCAATGCCGTAATTTGAGGATTCGTGTTGGTGACGTTGCGCTTTCCATCAGCACGAAGCTGGCGCTCACCTGAATGAACCTAACGTGGACTTGAGGAAAGCAAAGCACTGCTCCTGTAGCGGTTGCCTCGATTACGTACGTACCTATGTCAAACATGCCTCATGCCGATGAACTATCAGACTTGCGTCTCTAGTTGTGTTCTGACGTAGTCAATCGAGCACAACTTTGGTTGGCTGAATACAGGAAAGCTGAGAGAAAAGGGAGCAACAGTAATTATTGAATACACTCTTCCGCAGTTCCCGTCAATCTCCCTATCCTTGCTCCTGGTATAAAGGAAACATTATCCTTGCAGTTGACAGGTCTACTCGCATGATTACTTCTGCATGCTCCTGCCATTTCTGCCGAAACCCACTCTTCATCCCCGGTCGGGCTTCGTTCGAGCTTTTGCTGGTTCGTGATGCCCATAAGGACCTCCGCTGCCAAACCTCAGACCAAGCGGCGCTCTGGAATTCTCGAATGTCCAGGGTCAAATGGGTGCGCTGTACCACGAACCCAGGCTCCCACTAGCAAAGCAGCGTGCAATACAATGCCCCGAAATATGCATAGACAGGCATGTGAATTGCGAAGAGCGCGCAGCTCAGTTGGCACGGAGAGGTGACAAAAAGCACCGGGGGGGGGGGCACGGTACGTGAGCATCTGCAAGCATGATATTGGTGCTAATGCGACGGGGCCCCACCCTCAGAATAGGCAGAGCCAGAAGGACAGGAATAGCAGCTCTGGAGGACACGATCTGGACTCTTTCAAGCCCCCAAAAAGACAACACATTGAAGAGGTCTTGAAACGTTAGCCTGAAACTCTTTCAGCGACTCTCGAAACACATTGTCTGTCCAAAATGACTGAAACATGACTGCTGGTAGTAATGTTGGTCATACTTCTATTCTTGTGTCAGCAGGGACGCTAACCGGCATGTGCACATGTTCCTAATCAGTCCAGTAGGACCTCAGAGCATGCTCAATCAGCTCTGATCCGCTCCGATCCAGACAAAGGCGGTCGTGGTGTGCTGCAGCAGAAATTGCAAGCAAATATCCCTGTCTTAGTCAAACAAAGGAGAGGCCGCGGCTCATGTCCCGACCTCTCCGCTGCTTAAGAGCTTCGATGAGGTCCTGTTTCTGCCATGATCATCAGAAAGGAACTTGACGCTGCAGCAGGGTTATAAGTACCAGCGGTGTGTGAAGATAAACCAACTATGTTGTCGCCGCATGATTCCCGAAGCATATGAGCTATAGTCTGAACTCCTGGTATCCCCGTTGATAACCCCTATAACGGTCCCCTATATAACCCTCGATATAATCCACCTTTAAGGAGTTTAGACTTTAGCTCATATGACGACTTGGCAAGTGCCCGACTGGTCTGACGTCCATAGCCGGTTTCATACCCAAGCTTCACGCTCTAGCTCCTTAAAGGGGGATTATATAGTGGACAAGTGGACAAGTATCGGGCTTACTAAGGGGGATACTAGGAGTTATGACTATTTCTTCCATCAAACTTGGTATGCCCTGCTCGTTTGGGTAGTTTTCGCTCGAGTTTACAGGCACATGCTCAGCTACCTTGGACACATTGAATGCACTGACTTCGTAGAATTTACTGTATGGTACGTAACCTTGGACGTTTCGTTGAGAAGCGGCATCCCAACTGTAGGCCCTACTCTCAGCGATGTGCCTACGACATACGACCCACACGAACATCAAATTATTTGGAATCTCAACATCTATCTGCCAGGCGAAAGTTTGCAGATACGAGTGCCAAGGATCCCTGAAAAATGGCTGAGATTTCTGACCCTCAAACTTGCTATGACACTTTATCATCTGGTGAAGTGCTGGCGGATGCCTGCGGCACATCCAGACCCGTTCGCCGCATGACCTGCTAAAAGAGCACACAGCTTCATGGGATTCTTGGAACAAGGTCCTTGGCCACCTGTCTGAGCAGCGCCAACTGCTTGTACATTGGGGAATACGGAAATTCAGAAAATCGACTGTCATCCAAGCATGGAGTTTGACAGATGCTGGTTCTGGCCTGGGTGATGAAGATCATGGCATGCCTAGGGATGCGCAATGCTTGCCTCCCACACTACTTAGAGGTGGTGCCAAGTGGAGGGATTCTCTAAGAAATGTGATCATTGCAGCTTTTCCACTCCCAACCTCAAGTAATCTCAAGTACAATGATCTATCCACAAACCTCAGTACTCTGCTACGGAAAACGCGGCTTGGCTTAACGCACTCAGCCACATCCTTCTTCCAGAGAAAGGGGGATGCGGGCTGTGGCAACATACGAACGTCGTTGTTTCTAAGCCAGCTGAGACTTCTCCTTACACAAGAATTCGTGATCCCATCAGGAATGCGATGCTACCTGTGATCCTTCTGGGGCTCCAAGCCTCTAAGCGCGACCATGTTGGGCTGCAAAGTCTGTACCCGCTACCTCTCTGATGCCCCAAATTTCTCTTCCCTGCATCTCTGATATTCTTCCGTAGAGTTCGCAAACAATGATGCTTGCGTACAGTTCTCATGATACTAAAGTTCCTGAAGAGAACGATCACAACGTCAAACTCAAGGGCAAAAGTCTTACTGTAGAGCCATCCTTAAGACACACATGCATGACTGAACATTTGAGCTGCAGACCCGTCAGGACCTCACAGGGGCAAACGAAGGCCCGCGTTGCTTCGGCTACGGCAAGCGATGCCAGGATGAGTGCATCTGCCTATATGCCCATGGCTATGGCAGCTTCAGATAGTCCGGACTGCAACTGCGAGAGGCAAACATCTGGGTGATAGAGTGAGACATGTATCGGCCGTGTGACCTTCGACCATCAGAGCGGCTGGAAAAAAACTGACTCCTGACAACGAGCCCACTCGCTCTTTACCCCTTCCGAAATCCTCGGTCCAGTAAGATGGGCCATATTCATTCTTACTGGACAGCTCAGAAAGCAGAAGCATGCAGAAGCATCATGCAAGCCGATGAACGTTAATGACTTCTAGACTTGTACATGTGCTACAGATGCATCGCATGGCCTCGAATGCTAATCACGGCGAATCATTCTCTTGGCTCTTGCCCTCGCACTCACGAACGTCTTCTGAGGTCCCGACCCTTCCGCAGCAAAGTGATGGCGGTGCCCTTTTTGCCAGCACGGCCTGTACGGCCAATGCGGTGGACGTAATCCTGGCCGTCCTGCAGGATCAGAGCTTCCTAGATTCTTGTCTAGCATATCTTGCATTCCTCAGAATTTGTGCGTCAATGACTTGTATGCAGTCCTGGCACAGATCTGGCCTATGAGATGCTGGAGTCAAAACCGGTCCCTGCCCTATGCTGAAGCATAACATCCCATGCCTCATTCTACGGGTGAGAAAGCATGACAGAGCTGTGCAGCCTGAGGTTTTTTTTGCTTGCGGAGGGTCAGGCTCTGCATTGAGACCCTTCTGGCAGGATCCAGGAGCTTTCGGGAAAGCTCGCACACGCTGCCTGGGGTCTTAAGCTCAGTTTCAGCTATGGGTAGCCGTTACTATTCATGGGCTTCGGGGCTACAGTACTTGAAGATGGGGTCTGAGCCTACTATGACTCCGCCTCTGCGGGTTCGGAGCACAACAAGCTCCTCCTGAAATGCGAGGGATGCAGATCGACATCTTCTCTTGCGGACGATGGTTATTCTTGTGGTGCATGTAACCTTGCGTTCTAAGCTACAAGTGTCACTGTCCGACTAAGGCCGATCCTGGCTGGTGCGCTACTGCGCGCACCCAAAAACACAAAAATGCATGGTTCATCCACAACACTTGTGTGGTTTCCGAAAATTTGCACCTTTCGCAGCGATGCGCTCGCCAACAGGGTGCAAGGACAGTCTATAGGCTCTGGATTTACAAGGCCAGGACCTGTACCCTCTACTCTCTTGTAATTCTGTCATGCTCTGGCTACCACCGGAGCTCACAAGTTAGTACTGTTGCGGGTAGCTTCGGGCAGCATGTAGCTTTACAGGTAAGATGCTTCTGGGCACTTCCCCCTGTCACTGTGGCCTTGCATCTACAGGCCCGGGTAGCCGAACTTGCTGGCCCACTCCTCAACCTGGCACCATGGCACTATGCAGAAGGAAATCGCGGCTAGACATTTCATCTGGACCCTGGATCAACAAAGCCGAAATGGTTCCATCCCCACTCTGCTTGCGACTTCACACTGAAGTCTTCGTTTCAACAGCGCGCACATTAGAGACTTGCTGGCAAGTGCTCGGGGATGTGCAGGGTAAGGTGCATGTCTGCAGATTGCTTCTATAGCTACCAGCTCACAAAAACAGGCCGTGACCTTCCACAGCAAACCAGCCTCCTTCTTCAGGGCCGCCACATCTGGATTGCCGGGAATGGCGGCCTCCCCCAAGGAAAAGGAAAAGAGAGGTTATCCCACATGGCTGTGTACAGTTTCCCTTTCAGGAAGTAGAATATCAGTCATGGAGCTACTGGCTTCGGAGATTCCCCCTCAAAAGCGGAAGCTCGCCTGAACCACCCGAGCAAGATTACCTGGTCTTGGCTTGAAACTTGCAATTCCCAATCTTGACCAAAAGGACCTCTTCAAGACTTGAATCTCAGAATTTCATGAGGCTGCTACCCGATGTAAGGGACGAACATATACACCCTGTTGTAATGTAGTAGTTTCAATTTTCTTTTTCCATTATCCCTATATAACCCCAATATATCCCATTATAATCCCTATAACACAAAATTATAATACAATAGTTTCCATTTTCCATCATTCCTAAATAAAAACCCATTATAGCAGTTTCCATATTCTTTTCCATTATCCCAATATAACCCAATGATATGGAATGGCTGCTCCAAGGCCTCGAAGTCTTTCAGCTTCTTGCCCTTCTCAGCTTGGATCTTGAGGGCGAGCTGGCAGCATCGATCCAGGAAACCGCCTTAGGAGTTATGTAGGGATAATGGAAAAGAGAATGGAAACTGTAATATTATACTAGGGTATATATTGGGGTTATATATAGTCCCCCTTAAGTAGATAGAATATGGGGTATATAGGGGTGCTGTTGCAGCACGGACGGGCAGAGGTTAATAGGATCAACCCGCATGCAGCCATTGACTCTCGAAATTGCTGAAGCTCCTGACCCTCGACTAGAAGAAACTTCCAACTCACTTACTTGCCACTACTTTCCAGTGCCCTCGGGTCTGCATCAACAGTCCTACAGAAAGGCACTGTGCAGCTGGGCCGCCGATGGTTTTGAAGTCCTGCTCAGTGCAACCACGGGTGGTCATGGCGGGTGCACCAACGCGGACACCTCGACATGAGGCGCTGCCGATGCCCCGTAAATACTCCTCAAAAGGATCCACCAAAGGAAACAGAAACAGCCCATGCCGGACGCTGTTCTCAATAAGTAGAGTTGCCCCAGCCCCAGCCTCCCTAAGCATACCTTCGTTCATCCAAGCCTTGGATCTAGGCCCCCACCCTGGTCAGGGTGCTCCAGGCTTTCAATTTCTAGCCCAGGCTATGTCTTGTTTAAACAACGATCCGTAGGGGTCATGAAGAGGTACGGTTATCCACTGACTGCTCCTCCTGGTGAGTTTGGGTCATCTGTTCTCATCGGAGCTCAAAAATGCATTTTCTGAAAAAGAGCTTCCGCCTTGAAGAACGCATCTTGAATTCAACCATCTAGCTTGAGATTCACATGGTTGTGTTCAGGAAAAGAAAAGCTGGATGGTGCGCCTGTGTGTGCGCGTGTGATATCACTCGATAGTTAGTAGCTATGGGTGCGCGGTGTAGCGCCCGAGGCCAAAAACCCAAGCCCTATAGCAGTTCCCAGCTCAACATCCCTATAGACCATCTTTGCGCCTCCCGGGCTAAGAGCACTGGCATCTCCATGAACCGCGTTGCGGTTCCTTGGCGAAGCAAGCTCAAATGTACATTTTCAGGGCGACGGCTAACATGCAACACGGGTTGCTTGAAATGGTGCCGCCCGTCCCCATCTCTTCCCCTACGAATCAGTGTTGTTCCCCCCCGCTACTGGGAGGGTCAGGGGGACTTAGTAAGTAGGTTGATAACCCAACCCGTATATAACCCAAATAGTAAGCCTAGTGATGCCCATTGTGAAATTACCTACTAAGCCCCCCTGGCCCTTCAAGTAGGATGGCTCCGTCTTCTTATCACCCAAGTTCCACAGTAGCCCCCGAAGCCATTTGGAGCAACTCAACAATACTTGGGTGCACAAATTGATTCTAGTCTTGACACATGCACAAATTCCTTCGAGAATTGAACGGCACGAAATAAACATGCTTCCTCCCAGATGACTTATAAAAAAGAGACGGAGAAGGGAGAGTTTTTTTCGCGAGAAAATGCGCTGGCGGCTCATGCCGAGTACTCTTATGGGTAGGGTTGGGCTAAACTGCCAAATAATTCTTGCGGGGATGTACTCAGAGACCCTGCAAAGATCCATTCTCCACACTTGTTTGGAGGGGGGTAGCATGGCTTCATCATGAGCTCCACCCTTTACATGTTCCACACCCCGTCCCAAGGCTACAAGCTCACAATGCTGCAGCAGCAGTGGACCCAGCATACTCGAACTGGCGCCTTGAGTTACAGGACCCCCCAAGTCTTCGAAATGTCCACTGTTTTCACGATGGCAGTCAGAAACATTGCTGCTGTTGTAAGAACAAGGTCCGTTTTCAGCATCTTCTTGAGCGTAACTGTATTCGGATGGTGGTCATAATATGCAACCCAGGGCGCAGAGTAATGGACGCTGCCTCACAGATCTTCTCCACCTGTGGCGATATGAATCTTGCAGCCGTCCCTACGTTCAAGATCCTAGCCTATTAAGCTTGAGTTTACTATGACTGCGTACCTGCCACGATGCAATGGAACGTCCCCTGACAGTTGGCAAGCCACGTACTTGCAGGGCTCTCCAACCATCCCCATGTGACCTATGCATCATCCCTACTTGATCTTGACCAAGCCAAATATCCATGATCCGAGCGCTTCTGCAAAGAGTCCAGATTGTCCTCTAGAGCGAGCTTCTAGAGTTTACAGAGATAATAGTCTAAACTCCTAGCATCCCCCGTAATAACTCCCATAATATTCCCCTATGAAACCCCCTTCCAGGAGTTTAGACTATACAGCTCATTATAAACCAAATCTATCCCCCTCAAGTCCCGCTTACTGTTCGCTAGAATCCAGCCTTTGAGCCAGTGAGCCCATGGGGGCGCCTCGGCTGTTTCTCTGGACTTGAGGGTAGCATGCCTAAACCCTAAGCCCTAAACCCTAAATCCACAAATAAAAAAAACTACTACATTATTCCAGGACATTATTACACAGGTATTAGCATCTTAAAGTTGAAAGATTCATTTTTGTGTGGTTTCAGCGGTCAGCGCTTAGGGTCCAGGATGTCATCCTCGTTCATCACTTTTAGGGTTTAGGGCTTAGGGTTGGGGCTTTCAGAGGGCTCTGGTTTGGGGTTCTGAATTTTCTGGATTCAGGGTTTATGTTGTGTCACAGTCCAGGGTTTCTGGTTTCGGATTTTAGGATTGATTGGGCTTTGGGTCCCTGGGGTTTAGGGTAGAGGCCCTCTGGATCCCCCTTGCTGTTCAAAACCATCCTTCATCACTTCAAGTTGCAAAACTCACGGAAACTAGCGCAAGACCTCTTTATCAACGGTCGCGGCGGTGGCGATGCATATGCTCGCATGCCTGGTTCATGAGCATGGTGGCGCTGTTCGCAGACGACCAATCAACCGACAAGGAATCCAATAGTTTGCACTCTACGACTGCTCAAAACACCCCCAAACGGTAGGTATACTTCCAAGACCATTGCCGCATGTGACCTCCTCATGGTGGTGACGAGTGGGGCTATACATGCGTATTCATGTGTTTCTACAGCTGCGTCTACAAGAGTGTAAGCTCACTACTTGTGACAATAACAAGCTTCTTTGTGGTCTTGCCATGTTTCATCTTTTTTGGCGGGCCGGTGGTTGGCTATTGGCCGTGGCTTTCGTCTGAGAAAGGTGCAAGGTGCAAAGCTGAAGACTTCAGGTTTAGGTTTTGAGCGGCCAAGACTTTGCTTTCTGACAAAGGAACCGCACTTATTAGGAACACGAGGAACCTTAGGTTAGGAGCCTTGGGAAGTACTGGGAAGGATTTTGGAGCGTTTTGGGGATGACCCAACCCCTCCTTGAACGGATCACTTCACTCAATTCGATTTCAACTGACCCACTCCCCTCACCCCTCTAGAGCCCTAGAGTTTGTAGCGCCATTCCCTGTGGCTCCCTGCAGAACTGCAGCTGAGCAGCAGGTCCCATAGCAGCAAGTGATTGTCCGTGCCATCGCTGGCTAGCTTGTGCCTGGGCTGACAACCCAAACCCTATCCAAACTCGAAAACGCAACAAGATGAGAGCGGGTAGTGAAGTGCTGGACGGGTTCCAATTCATAATGCGAATCCCTGTCTAAGGTCCTCCAAACTCCAAACCGAAACAGCAGCAGTTGCTGGTGGAGGCTCATGATGAAAAAACAGACCAGTCGGTACTCTTACTGTCGGTAGGTGGTCCTGTCAGGGTATTGTGATGCCCTGAGGCGCGGAGGAAACCATGCAGCATTCTAGAGAGTCTAACGGCTCTTACCCTCAAAAGACACGCAAACTATCCCAAGGGGCATGACCTTTTCCCGAATCAAAAGTTGGCTCCCTTCCTCAAAATGACTCTAAATGCGGAACAAATCCTACATGCCCTGCAACGAAATACGGTAATCCGCGTACATCATCCATAGGGCTTGTTTCGGCATCTCACAGAACCCATCAACAATACCCAAGCCATCCGTTCCTTACGAGGTGGGCTTTTCCCAAGATAAGAGGCACCTCTCAAGTACTATAGTAGGGTCTCCCAAGCACAACCCCCAAATGCTAAAGGGCCTATCATCTCTGCTCACTACTCGTTATTATCATTCATAGTACTATCATTACTATTATTTGGCATCATCATCATTACCACTATCATTACCGTATGATTATTATTCCTGCTACTATTCATTTATTCAGGTACTATCCCTTTGCGCCACGCCGCCCCTTGCTCATCAACGTCTCGGCCAGAGCTTTGGCATTAGCCTTTACCGCCTTGGCGTAATCCTTGAACATGGGGCTGTCAACCTGCCAAAGCTCTGCTTATAGGGGGGGGACTAGATAATCATGAAAGAGAAAATGGAAACTACCATAACGGGTGGTATATCGGGAATATAGGGATTATGGAAAAGGAAATGGAAACTACCATATTATTTAGGGGTTGGAATTCAGGGTTTTAGGGTTTAGGGTCATGGGAACTTCGTAAGTAGGTTAAGACTGCGGGTAATTGAGGTTGCACTATGAATCATAGGAGTTATTAAGCTACTTACTAAGTCTCCCCGACCCTCCAAGAAGGTTGTTGGTTCTTACAAACACGAAATTGAAACTACTACATGGTTTGGTGTCATTAGTCAACACTAATGGGCTGGCAAAAGCAAAGCTACAGGCTCCGGGTACATTGGAACTTGAGAGATAAGTATACGGAGCCACGCATGTTGTATTCCCACTTTAAGGGTCAGGGGGACGTAGTAAGTAGGTTCACCATGGGGATAACTAGGCTTACTATTTGGGTTATAAGGGTTATTAACCTACTTACTAAGTCCCCCTGACCCTCCAAGCAGGAAGTACCTGATTAGCTAAAGCTAGATCTCTCCAAAAATCTTTGTAAAATGCATTACTCAGATGCTAAAAAGAGTTGGATAATTCCGAGTCCATCGAAGTCGAATTGGGACTGCCGCTCCATGGTCACAGTATATTCGATCAGAACCTATCCTAATTGAAAGTACAAAGCTACACGCAAACTCCAAAACATTCTACATGACGACAGTACAATCATGATCTTCTAGCAGTTTGCACCACTCATCCATGCTCCACTGCGCTAAATCATGCAATCCCTCAGTATCAGTTCTGAAAAAAATGCACTTTTCCGCAGTCCCCGCAGAGTCCTAATGTTGCAAAATCATCGGTTGATAGAATGGCTGAGACTAAGCCGTTGACTGGTCGGTGACAAGACTTTTAAGGCCATCTTCCGTTCAGGATTTATGCCCGCTTGTGCCTGAATGCAGTTGCACGAAAAGAAATCCAAGAATGAAAGCCTTCAGAAGCAGCGAAGACACCTAGTGGAACAGGGACTTCAAGGTCCCATGATTACCTCATAGTCATAATTCACTGCCACACTCTCAGTCCCATAATGCACAGCCTCCAGCAACTGAGCTGCGAGAGCGCCGATCCTCAGCGATCCCACAGGGTTGTGTCGAAGCATGGCTTCATGAGTCTTCAGGGGCTAAAGCCTGCTTTGAGAGTTTGCACTGGGTTGGCTCTGCAGTGGCGATTCTATTGGGTTTAGTGATGAATTTGAGGACTGTCGTGTTCATGTGTAGGGCATCTCACCAGGCACCTTTGATTAGAGTGCGTTTCGTAAATGTCCTATGTTTGGGGGTTCAGAAGAGGCTCCAACTTCTGAGAAATTTGCCCTCAGGTATACACCGATGTTCAGGTATAGGCTAGGTCTCAAACAAATCAGTGATTCCAGGGCTCAAGGCATAGCTTCTGAGAACGGCATTCTACTGTAGCAAAGCCAGGAAACCCGAACTATCTAAGCTCCACCAAGATGCTTGGAAAGAGTTGAAGATCTTTCAAGCAGCTCACGACAGGAAGTATAAGTGCACCATCTTGGGCCTTCTCCTATTGCGCCCGCACATGCATCACAATCCGTTTGTTCCACCCGAGGAGCTGGTGGTTGTGGGGTCCACCCTGCAGGGCAGGGAAAACAGCCATGTCGATGCGCTCCTGGTGCAACAGCATCTGGAGTTGCGGCGTGAAGGGGCTGCTGTATGACTCTATGTTTTTGCGACGGTGTGAGTGATCCAGCCTGCAGAGCAGGCGGCTCTTCTAAGCGTACTTGATACTTGAAACCCAAAAGCCAAAACCCTTCTCCGAAGAGCTCCTTGATGTCCGGGATCTTCTCCGTGTACTTGAAGAAGATCATGCCTGCTCGGGGTCCTCGCAAAGACCTCACTTGGATAATCAGGAAATTTAGCAAGCAATCTGCTATTAACCACTCCCACTATGATGGTCCGGCTAAGGAGGATGTAGGGGGGTTTAGGGTTGAGTGGCCAAGAACTACACTAATGCAGAATCACATGGAAAAGAACATGGACAATGAAACAGAAACTGGGGTTATACGGGGCTTATAAAGATTAACATGATTAACCACCCACGTGGACCAATTACTGGGTTGCTGTTAAGGAGCTTGAATTAGGTCACCATTTTCCTTAGTATAAAAACTTAACTTAAGTTCCTTAACAGCAACCCAGATTACAACCTAGCATTGCGGCGGAAAGGCTTGTGCGTGGTAGTTGTCACGATATCGCAGTGCTCGAAGGGAGACGGATGCTCTCCTGAGGACTTCTTCAGACTGCGCGTTCTTGTCAGATCCTAAGGGACTACATTAGGGTTATATAAGGGTTGTATAGGGGTTATAAAGGGTTATGATATAGGAGGATATAGGTGCAATGGAAAAGAAAATGGAAACAGCTATTTAGGGTTTAGGTTTTGGGGATATTTCTCCAAATATGAAGAATCATGTGGAAACGAAGATGCAACATGAAATGGACACCCCCTAGTTTCAGTATTGGGATACTATCCCTATGTACCCGATGCATTATATACTATTAGGTGTTTTTCTGCGAGGATGCAATCTACTCACTACTCCGAGCACGTTGTAGAGTCGGTTTTCTGACTCACAGCGGATGCATAGCAGTGAACGGGGCTCCTGTTGCAACCAGGCCGGAGATGTGAGCGATGTCTGCCATTAAGATTGCACCCACCTATGGCCAGGGTGCTGGAAGCTCTAGGTCAGAGACAGCACTGCAACTTCAAAAGAGCCACTCCGGCCCACAGGAAACAACGGAAGCGTCCCCGAACCTCGTCAGCGATCTCCTTGAACTTGCCGAAATCGATGATGCGCGGGTACGCAGAGGCCCCGCACAAGATCCTTAGGAACGCGCGCATGTCGGCCAGGGCATGCCTCTGGTGACATGTCCGGCTGTAAGCATGCAAGCCCATGCTTGCAACTTCTTCACCCGAAGGATCACATCAAACAGTCAAAGCACTTTGGCAGGTGTCGTTGTGACATATTCTGACGCTTCCCATAGGCTCGAGCCAAGCCGAGCCACATGGCGGGACGGAAGACGAGCGCCGTCTTGCGCAGCTCATCGAAGTCGATCAGTCCAGTCTCCTACCGCTGCGCAATCTAAATAAACTGCCCTGGTTGGCCAATGAGAGTACTGCTTCAAGGGTTGAGGGCCTTAGAGTTTGGACATGCGCAAACTGTGCTGGCTCCGGGTGCACGCGGTACGGCAGCGACTCAAAGTAAATGGAGGTGGCCGAAATCTTCTTCCTGGAATGCTTGGAGAATGGAGAAAAACAAGTATGCCGCCTGTCAATTTCGAAAGGAGGACAGGCTTGCTCCAGAAGAACTTCGACGCAGCCCAGACGCTTGGCCGTGTAGTATCCATGGGTCAGGTGCCCTCCAGAGGGCAGGTCCAGTCCCATCACCCTGCGAAGCGGGCAAGTGAATGATCTACAGACTTAAACCGCGGCAGTCCCTAAACCCTATAACCCGTTATAGTAGTTCGCATGTTCCATTATCCCCATATATAACCCCAATACAACTCTAATATTATCCCAATGGGTATCTATATCCACTGAAGCGGACTAGATGGCCTTGCATGAGGCGGCAGCAGCGCTGTGTACACGGCGAAGTTGGCCGGGCTCCCGGAATAGGGCTGGACATTGACCTTAGTAGATTGTAGCTGCATGAACCATGAACGCTCTTACACAAGGGCAGCTAGTATAACGCATCTTGTGAAGGGCTGCCAGGAATCTCTATGCTTGGGGGGCGCATTGCATGTCTTTCCAACATTACAATTTTTCAGAAGAGGAAAAACAAGAAGGCACTTCACAGCAGGCCTTCACAAATCTAGCGTATCAACTCGGCCAATCCAACGTTCACGTCGATTCACGCCACTTGAAGGCTTCGGGTGCCCCATCCCTCACCTTCATTGCGACAGGCCACGCCCCATGCCTTCTCATCCAGTCCAAAAGCCTTCAAGGCGCGGTCCTTGCAAAGGTTCTCCACCTTGTCAATGACCTGCTGCAGCTCCCAGGTCAAGCTACAGAGACGGGCAGGAACAGTAGCGCAAATCGGAAAAATTGGAGTGGAATCGTCGTTTGATGTGTAGTGTTTTTCCAAACTTTGCATGCGCGATCAGAGCATCCAGCCGAAAAGCGCACGCACCCAAGCCCAAAGGACAAAGAAGCGGTCAAACCCGAGGAACAAGGCTCCCCGATTGCTGCTTTTCTTTGGGAGGCGACCTGTGGTCAAAATGAAATTGCCGCGAAAGTTAGGCAACCATTGGTAACTGCCACTTCACGATTGCCCGCGCTCATCATCATGTTTGTTATGTAATCAATCTAAATGCACTTTTCTAGACAAACGTGCTCAGGCTGCTTGCTCCAAAAGCGAAAGTGGTCTTAGGATTGCGTGCAGAAACCCGCGCTATAGTAACGGGGCAGCTCTCGGAGCAGACTAGTCATTAGACACATTGCAGGACAGCACTCTCGGCTGCGGCCACTGACTGGGACCAGCCTCATTACCACCGTAGTAGCGGGCTCCAGGCTGGCCCTCGGAATACCTCAATAAAGAGCAAACAAGGATAGGATGGGGCATGATTTTGCTATCATGAGTCGAGTCGCTTGTTGGTGAGGGCCGAGCCCAAGCACTCCATGACGGCTCTTGAGGTGAAGTTCTCGGAGGCAATCAGCTCGATGCATCCTTGGTCGTTCTGATCTTTTAGTTTAAGCTCCTAGTTGCTATTCTAATGCATCAGGGGGCGCAGGCTGTCCTCTGACTCCTGCTTGAGTTTCTCAGTGACTATCCCTGCTAGGTTTTTGGTGTGTGTGTGTCTGAAACAAAAGCACATGCCGTACACTGGCAGTATCTTATTTCGACTGGCCACATGAGAACTCGAATTCAGGCTGCCTGGTGCGGTCACTCAAGTTACAACTACGTATACCCATACGATGGCCAGGGGGCGTGTTTGCCTTGCCTTCTCCTGCTGAACCAGGTCATACCTCAGGCTCAGGTAGTGTGGCACAAGCCTGTCAGATTCTGTCAGCCTGTGGAGTCTGCTATGGTTACAAGACATGAAAATGCCTCGAACCCTGCGGCCCACAGAAGAAAAAGGGCGGGCCGCAATCAGACCGTTTGGCGGTCAGCACAACAAACAGACACCGGATAATGTAAAACTTAGTACTCCCTGAGGCCCCCGACATGACTGGATCCGCCTCCTTCAGGGACTTGTTGCCCGGCAGCGCTGGCCTGTTGGAGGCCTCACTGCTGGAGCCCCGCTTTGAATCTGCATTTATAGGCATATGCTGCAGAATCAGAGGGACACAGCACAGCACGGACAGCGTCCTTCGACCATGATCTTACTCGGGGCAGAAGAAGGGCCAAGGGTGTAGATCGGGTGAAAGCTTCGCCTTGGTTCCAGTCGTGATGCCCTGCGCGGAGACCATGAACTTGGCATCTGCCTCGACCTTGGTAGTCGTCGGGTCTTGTTTGGTCAGCTACCCAGGCAATATATGGTACGAGTTATGCGAGGTTGAGTGGCCATGTATGGTGCTGATTTAGCACCGTTGTTGCAGAAGAGCTTAGAGCAGTATTGCTGCCCCTCTGTATTTCAAAATACCCAAGATCCGGCAACCCTTACTTTCGGAACCACCCACAAGAGAAACTCAGCGCCCCAGCCGAGGACCCAACGGCCTGGAAGGCCGCGGCCTGTGCGTCATTGATCTTCCCCAGACCCTTGAGAATGCCAACCACAACCTCAGGGAGGAACATCAGTTGGGTTGAGGGCTTCCATCGCTTCCTGGGGTTGGATTTAGAGCATGTGCTCTGAATTGTGGATGTTGCTTGGCCTGGGGTTTGGCGAGTTGGGCTTCAGAGTTTAGGGTCAGGCGACATGTGTGGCCGCGCAATGCTGCAAACACACCTTGGTAGTGCAGACCCTGCTGAAAAAAGACCCTTTGCAAGAAAAGACACTTTACTGTTGCGACACATGCCCCCGGCCCATCCTGGCCTTCTCCAGGTTCAAGGTGTAGAAGTGCAATCCTGGAGCACCACCTTCCAGAAGCTTCCTGGGCTGCACAGGCGCAAGGGCTTCCATCACATCTTCTTCTGGGTAATACAACCAATACATGAAGCCCTACCTCAAACCCTAACAACGGCACGCCCCTGGAAGGTGTGAAGTTTTTTGGAAGGGCTTGAACAGCTTTCTAGACCCAGCTATGCAGGAAGCGCGAGGGAATGCAGCCTGGCTTGTCCCCTACCTGCACTATTGCGTGTGCCCGCTATCACTATCCCAAGCCTTTTCAGCAGGGCCATCGGGACCCAACTGCAAATTTCAATCATCAAGATTCTTAGGCTTGGATTGTTGGGAACTCTTAACAGGACACTTAAGCAGTGAAATCTGGCTGACAGGGACTGCGCCATCATGCTACGGCAGCACGTCCTTTCTGATGGTCACCGCAGTCACACTCCACACATGGTAGCCTTCTGCTCCTGCAATGCGGCCCAAGCTTCTTGCACATATCGACGCCCTCCTGGATTCCAAACTCCTGGCATGCTCTCTCATAGCCTAACGAGAAACTCACTGTGCAAAGATTAAAGAGGTGTGACTGTTAGCTCTGGGAGTCCTTGAAAGCCTCATCCGAGGTGTTCGCCTTCTCTGCCCGCTCCATAAGGCCTCGAAGGCTCTGCGCATGCAGGCACGCGCAACAAGAGCGCTGCTCTGCAGGGTTTGGTAAGGATCTACAAGCTTATGCCACTATGCCATCTTTCCTTGGGTCTACTGAGCTATGTGGATGAATCTTGATTGGCTTGCTGATGGCACAGTAGCGCCCCTGTTTTCAAGATTCTGGAATCCTCCAGCACCTCCATGGCACCGGCAGAAATTAACAAGATCATGACAGCCCTGCCGTCTCTGGAGCAGGGATCTGAGGACATAGATAAACACGGAACGACCACATTACCGGAACTGGATGAGGAAATGTAAAAGATTCCCACAAGACGCCTTCGGGCAGGCGAGTCTTGCAAAGCTCTGTCATCCGCTTGAGGCCGCCCAGGCCGTTGAGGCACATGATGCCGGGGACAATAGGCACCTGTGCCAGTCATGGAAAGAGCCTAGTGGAATTCGCAAGTGCAAACATTCTGCAATGTGCTGCGTGGCCCTGAGAAGCTCATGTAGCAGGTCAAACAAAGAAGGCTGACATGTCAAGGTCCGGAGTTGGTCTGCACTTACTTAGACTTGAAAAAAAACTCTACTCACCAGAAGCCCGCACTTACCCCCTGATGTGGTGGGCGTGCCAGACTTGCGGAGACAAGCCTTGATGTCGTACTTGCGGCATTCCTCCACGAAGTCCAGGAAGACCTGGGCATCCAGGAACATCTGCCTCAGTTGCGCAGGTGGCATTTAGTGATAGTGGTACCGCTGAGGAAGGGCTTGGCCCCAAGAAGGTTTCGGTACTCCTGTCAAACAACTCATACAATGCGTTGTGCATCAGGTTTTGCGTAGTTCGGGAATGAATCTTGGTGGTGAAGGCGAATTGGGCACACTACTGAAGGGAGGCATGATGACAAGAAGAGCCTTTCGACCTGAATGGGATGGCATTTTGCACTACGATAAGATTCTTGCGTTCGCGATGGTGGATCCCAACAAGGTCACTTTGGAAGCATCTGTCAAAGGATGGTCACACATGTCCATTTCAATGTTTCTTGGTTGAAGCTGCGGACGTGATCCTCTCATATCCGCCCCATAGGTCCCCACCTGAGTGTAAGCATAAGTCCTTCTTTGGCCAATTCTTTTGACTTCTGGTCGCTGGTTGGACGGGCATGTAAGAAAGCATTCTGAAAGTTCAGCCCGGCTGCGTGATGACAAAGTGGGCACCAGCATCAACCTTCTCCTTCAGGTAAACCATCTCCTGCATAGACCAGCGACTAGCAACTAATCTTAATGACGATACCCTCATCGATATCAAGCAAAATGCACATGGTAGAGACTGACAATGGTGATCGAACAGTATGCACAGTTGTAAAACAAAATCTATCTATATATACATATATACACACACACATATATATATATGCATATATGTATATACATACGCATATATATATATATATGCTCATGGCGTTGCCAAATCCTTGGTAGTCTCCTTCCTTGCACGGAGGCCCCTCTCCATGCCAGAACATGGGGGGTTCATGGGGGTTCCTTCCTAGGGATGATGCTATAATATGCTATATGGGTCGTGTCATTTTCTCATGTACTCGAACGAATATATACGAATCAACTCTTATATACCGCTAGTATGCCCGTTTCGGCCAGTACTGCCAGGGTCAGGAGCAATCACCGCAATCCTGAAAGAGACCTTAGCAAACTCTCCTTGTGGAAGTTTGCGTCCCGGCAAACGGACACGACCTCCTTCCCCTGGGCGTCTTTCACCACGCGCGCTCGGCGCTTCTCTCCGGGAGTCAGGGCTGAAACTCCGCCTTCCACTTCCTGACAGAGCATTATCTGCTGGGACGCACGCGGACATAGCTCGCTAGGCTGGGCATTGTGTGCTCCTGATTTGCTTTAAGGAACTTGAAGCGCAGTGGCCGCATCGGTGCCGGTGTTCAAGACGATTTACATAGCATCAAGTCTGGAAAGCCTTGTTCTATTGTATGGGTCTAAATCAGAAGTCAGGGCTATCGCGAAGCCGTTTAGGACCTAGAATGCATCTGCATCAGACTGATCTGATGACTAGAGCAATAGTCGCGAGAATTGTCCCGTAAAGCCTGATGCTTCTCACTGAGGATCTTTTTTGGGGGGTATGTCAACAACTTGGGGTCCTGCTACACCCCGAAGTACGTTCCAATCCCTATGATTGATAAGGCTTGTAGCAAGGGACCGCTTTTGAAAACACCCACTTACGATCCCTAGATTCCATGTTCCTTGATTCCCTACTGTAACCCGAATATATACCCTATCCATTTTCCCTATATTATCCCTATATTCCCTTATTCCCTACTAGTACCCTAACCCCATAGACCCTAGGCACTGTATTTCCACCTTTTCCCTTACCCTAAAACCCAGCCCCCAAACCCTCAACCCTATATATTACCCCTATATTCCCTTATTCCCTACTAACCCAAGCCCTAACCCCTAAACCCTAATCCCTAAACCCTATATTACCTCCATATTCCCTTATTCCCTACAAGCCCCACGCCTTAACACCCTAAGCACTGTATTTCCCCCCTTTCCCCTTATTCCCTACTAACCCCAGGCCCTAACCCCTAAACCCTAATCCCTAAACTACCCGCATATTCCCTTATTTCCTACCAACCCCAAACCCCAACCCCTAAACCCTTAACCCTATATATATATATATATGACCCCTATATTCCCTTGTTCCCTACTAACCTCAAGCCCTAACACCTAACTCCTAAACCATTGACCGTTAACCCTACATATTACCCCAATATTCCCTAGTTCCCTACTAACCCCAAGCCCGAAGCCCTAAACCCCAATCTCTATAAACCTTATATTACTTCCCTACAAGTACCCTACGAACCCCAGAACCTAAACCGCAATCCCTAAACCTTATGTTGCCCCTATATTCCCATGCTTCCCCACCTCGATGTTGTCAGGGTGGCCCTCAGGGTAGCCGGCCACGGAGACGGAGAAGTAGTCGCCATGGTTCTGGCGGATGAACCTGAAATAGTAGATATAATAGTACTGATAGGTTCTGGCGGGACCCACATTTCCCGAACGTGTTTCCGGCGCATGCTCATGAAAGTTTACAGAAAAGTGCGTGACGTCCTGAGTATCTAATTGACAGTTACTGAACAGTTCAGAGAAAGACCAGGCGAAAAGAAGAGATTATCACAGCTGAACTGATGCAGCGAATGAGAAGCCTTCACTTCGCAACATCTTTCTCTCAGGAACACCATGGGCGTAGAAGCGAACATGTTCGCAGCATTCGGGGCTCTAGCTGCTCTGCTTGCACAATCCAACCCTGTGTGGCATGTAGGACTGCGCAGCTATGACCCGGAGTGTGAAAGAGGGGCATGGTCCCTACTGTTACAGGCACCAGACAATGATGACGTCAAGGCGCTTCACCAGATCCAGGGCGCTGGAGAAGCCGCCTGCACATGGGTAGGTGTTAGTGCTTTGTGGATGCAGGCACAGCTTGCTCATCAGGAATATTCAGGAACTAGATGCATGGATTCGTCAAGTTTGGAACTGCTTTGCGGTAATTTTCTTTAAAAAAATGAAGCACGAACGTGTAAAAAAGCAACATACTTAAAGCTACCGTAGGTGGCCAGCCTCATAATATGATATATGGACCAGCCCAGGTATGTCATGGGGCAGTAAGTTCATGGGATGTCCTAGCCACTCCACCAGCGCACAGCTGCCTTCGGTGGCGGTCCACTTTTCCTGCCCTCGGGGAGGGTCGCCGCGCAAGGCCACAATGTTGCGCACGCCATGCTGCTTGCACTCCAGGAGTGCCTCTGCGCTACAAGTTGGGGCGCGGGTCACGGATCAAGTCTGTGTCCACAAAACAATCTACCCTTCTATCCATCCGCGCAAGAGGTCCAGGTTTACCTAACTCATCCTAACTCCTTACTCCTTGCTTTTATGCTGAACGATGCAAGCGATCATTCCTGTCAGTGTGGCCAAAAAAAATCTGCCTGGTTCAGGCTCAAAATGGGACATAGATGATCAATACATGAATGGGAGGTTGTGAACCTTCAGACACGCACACGAACCATACACCAAACGCCTTCCATGGAAAGAGTCTAGGCTACAGGCTGCGAAAACACGAAGCAAAGAAAGGCTGGCAAAGGTAGTGCAGCTGGTCTAAGTTAAGCAGTCTAACTACCTAAGCGCGCCCTCAGGCTAGACTAGCAACGACGCGGCCGCATAGAACACAACAGCAGCGAGCTGGGCAAGTTCAACGCTTCAAAGAAGCCCGACGCAGCCTGACCCTCACATCCTAACCGTGCTTCCACATCAGAACTCACAGACTTTCCTAAGGCATTCAGAGGAAACTGCCGGTATTTGGGCCCTGTCAGGTCTTGCCATAATCGGCTGAGGTGCGTTGCCCGTCATCTCAGAGCTCTGATTTGTGCAGGTCAGGTGCCTCAAAGGTTCAGCGTGCAGGGGCTTTCTGTTGCCGGGATTGCACAAATTGTTCTAGAAAGCCTTTGCAGCAAGTCATAACATGGGCGAGGAAGACTTGGCACCAAGCATAGCGGCTCATGTCTCATAAATGTCTGTTGTCTGGAAAAGCTGCCTACACAAAGGCTGACCGCTGGACCCCTATTTTTTCTGTGGCTGCTGGTCAGCCAGCAAACACCGCAATCACATGCCAAGCCATTCCATCCATGTTCTGTCCGTGCCCAGCAACTATGTGCAGAGATTGCTGCTACAAGACGACAGACTTCGGGGCTGATTAAGTGCAAGTTACCATGAGCAACATGTGGATTCATGGCGCGATGTGCTGACTGTGTTCTCAGGCCAGGTGCATGTTGGCTACGCAGCCGAATTCGTTCTTGGCCTGAGCTTGCACAAAGCTATGAAGATCAAGGATAAAGGGCTTCCTTTCCTAGCCCTGCCGCTGGAGGGGCAAGTTTTACCATTGGAACACTTGCTTCTCCAGACGCTGAAGCAAACATCCTTTCATTGCATGCAGACACATTTGATATAAGGCGGTGGATTCCTAGCAGATTCCCTGGACCTAGCCGGCATAGTGATCCTCCTTCTTGCAGAAGGAATTCCCGAAAAGGCACCGGCAAAGAAAGAACATCCTCCATGCCAGACTCCGAGTCATGAAGTTTCGCTTCAAAGACGTGAGGCAGCGGAGGTGAGCTTCAGAGTCAGCTCGGAGGTGGAGCCACCGGCACCCCAGGTGAAGTCGGTGAAGAGGGGCCCCAAGGTCTTCATCTTCACCTGAAAGGCTGTGAGTGGGCGCAATTTCAAACGCAATGAATACGTAAAAGGAGGTGAAGGGGATTCTTGGTGCTTCTCATTCCGGGACTGTATCACTGTCAGACTTCAGGCTGCCATTCTGACCCCGGACATCCCCTTTGCGCAGAGCGCCTTCCTAGAGATCCTTCAGCTCAGATGTCAACCGATTACACGTGGAGGTCCAGCAACATCAATTGAAACCTCTCTTTGCAAGGAGTAGTTAGCATGAAGCAGACACTTGCTGAGCCAATTGCAAACGAGCCACGATGCGCTTGCGAAGATTCTCAACGCCCTCGGGGGTCTTTGGCGGGAAATACTCGAAGGAAAACCATCCCGCAGGAACCTGCGCAAAGTTGCGTCACACTTATGGCGCTACGCATGTATGCGGGGAAGTACCGTACCTTTCCCACACTTGTGTGCTTTGACTGCATATCGAACTCCACATCCCCACTCTTGCCGCAAACGTTGCAGATACATCAGCTGTGGGGATACCCACCTTCTCCACCAAGTCGGAGATCTTTTGGTCGTCAGCAAACTTCTGGGCCATGGCTTACTACAGGAGGGATTGGCTGCGCGCTTTGAGATGTCGGAAAGCAGAGGTGCAACTTCCGGAGTCGGGATGTGAGCTGAATTGTCTTCTCGTGCGCGCTGCTGTTTGCAACTGAGCCATAGGGAAGCGAACGAAGACGACTCAGACAGGGCAGCCGGTACAATATCAGTTTGCCTGCCCCCAGCTTTAAATGTCTATGTGCTCTCATCCCCGACAACTAGATGTGAAAAGCCGGTTGCAAGTGACGACAATCGTGGCCCACATGGGCGGCCAGCAGCACAGTGTCCTTCTGCAACCAACTAGACAAGAACACTGTTAGACCTGTGTCGTGGTTACAGTCCGAGATGGTGGCAGTGGCACAGGCAGCTGGCAGCGGGAATGCCACTGCAACTTCAGCGCTTACGGCATACGGGTAATCTCAAGAAAAACAATGCCTTGAATTGGCGAGTTCTGCCAGTATGTCCCAAACTAATTCTGAAGAGTTGGTCTTGCCCCTGATTGCCAGCTGCACAACCACTCCCTTCCTCTGGCGGATCGAAGTTAATGACCAAAGTGATGTCCTTCCCAGCAGGTGTGAAGTTTACGGCATTTACCTCGATGGCTTCAGCTGATGAAGTTGTATATGTCACGCTGTCGTGCGTGACATGCGTAACACTGCAGCATGGCGTCACATCATCAACACTCCCGAAGGAGAGGTTGGAGGATCCATCGAGTCATTGCAAACGTAAAAGACATGGGGTCCAATTGTGGGGTCCTTGATGTCCAAGCCACGGCCTGCCACGCTAGTAGCAACCTCAGCAAGCAGCGGGTGCTTTAGGAGTCCTCTCACTTGGTAGTGACCAGCTCGGGATGCTTCAAAAACCTGCGAGGTCCAAGAATAATCTGGGGCAACTGCCATGATCCACGAGTCGCCATTTCGGAATTTCTGCATGGCCTCAGTTGCATAATACTTCTACGGAGGCACGCTCTGGCAAGAAATATGTAGTATGCAGAAATGAAATTGTCACTGGCAGAAACTGCCGCGCCAGCCTGAAGTGCTCAGATTTAGCTCTATGATGGTCCATGGCTAAAACATGCTAAAACCGCAAGGCTTTGGATGCTCCGGATCCTTTACCACGGAAAATTGAAACCTGTTGCACGTGGGGTGTTTTGTTGAGCTCATAGAACTTCGAGGGCTTACAAGCCAACACTACATCCAAAGTGCGGTAACCCTCCAAGCTGGGTAGAACTGTTATAAGCCTCTGCACTAATAAAGATACCGCAAAACAGCATGTGTGACTGACCCCAACTTCTGGATCCTCAAGCTTGACACTCCTCACTCTCATGTCCTTCACAGCTTGCAGAATCCGATCGGAACTATGCCCCACTGAAAGAAGATATCCTCTCATAGCCAATGCAGATCAAACTCGAGAAAGATGGCTTGGTGGTGATGAAGTGTATGGGGCAGATTTGAGGCTGTCCAGTCCACTTCATGCAGTGCAAGATGTGTATAGCAACTGCGCCCCCAGCAGTTTCTCGCTCGCTTTGCTTCTTGTAGCCATGCAGGGTTTCAACCTGCAAGCATGCTGATATATGCTGATGCATGCTGAGACTGCTGCTAACATCCAGTGCACAAGATGGACCCTGGAATTCTCAATGCCAGAGGAAACCAGAAACATCTGCACACTAGCACACATCAGTGTCATTGGAAAGACGTCCACGTACTGCTGAGATTTCCGCGTGGATGCCATTGAGCGCGGCCTTGACACATGAGTTCTCATGCAAACTGATATCATCAGTCATGCCAACTGCAACAGTAGATTGTGCTAGAACTTGCAAATCACTGATCACCGAGGACTTGGCAACAAACACATATTTCCCTGGCCTTGATTTTCTTTGCCAAGGCGTCGCACTCATCGTGGTCAAACGCAAAGATTAGCACCTCCCGTGACGTGTCAATGCTACGCCATTGCGATGAATCCAGGGATCGAGAACAGCTTGCGAACGCAAATAGACAAAGCCTTGGGTCAATCAGTAATCCAACTCACAAGCTGCATCGTTGAGGATGTGAACTTCCGATCCAGGCTATGTGGAATAGGGTTCAAACTGGCATCTGTGGCTTGGGGTGCTTATCTAGGTGGATGCCACCCACACATCACCGAAGCCCAATGTGTGGGAGCTTGCCTTTCCTGGATTCTTCACATGTCCGCCATACCTGGGATGGCAAGCAGGGCCGCATTACAGACTGGTGCAGACAAATTGACATGTGCGCAAAGTGCACTTTCGAATCGCATGGAATCTTGCTGAATGTGAAGCCGAGTTGCACTTTCCGCAGCGTGCTCTTCAGTGCACCTTCCTTGTCGAACTCATCCTTCACCTCACCGTCTTGACGAGTACAATACAAGCTTGATGGTGGGAGTTTGCCGCTGCTCCTGACTTACCAGGGACCAGGGACCCTGCTATGATGACTTCTTGCTTGACATCCTTGTTCGCCCGCAGCGGGTCCTGCGTACAGCTGAGGAGCTCATGCAGGGCAACCCTTTGTTTCTGAGTGGTGTTAAGCCTGGCCGGTCTTCGAGATGGGGCGCCCAACCAGCAAGAGGGGGCGCACTATTGGCATGCCAATTCCAGGAAATCATTCTTCACGCTCACATCTTTGCTTTTGACCATTTGCTCCTGATTTTGGCCAGAATCAGGTTAGCACAGAAGCCCGCTCAAAATCGTCGAACCCTGGAGTGCCAGCCTTAAGGTTCCTATGAATGTAGGATAATGTAGCTGTGCAAGAATACGAAGACAACCCACCAGAAATCCCAAAACAGCTCAACTATTCTGTATCATTCCGTGGCCCAGGGGCGCATTGCGCATCTTAAAGCCTCAGGCCTCCAGAATCAACGTGCTCAACAGCAACCAACAACTGCACTCTTGCCAAGAAGCATAGAAAAGCTGAACTAAGCGCTTGCTGCGGCTGCAGGAGCCAGTCCTTCATTCCCACCCTCACTTCAACAGCATGTCGGCCTGCAGCATGCAATCAGGTTCCGCAGACAAAGCGGCAAAAAAAAACACATGATGTGTGCTCCATGAGAGTTGTCATCTGGTCAACGGGTTACACTTACACGCTTTTCGTATCACTTGTCTCATGCAGCTTAGTGCGCGAAAGCTTCCAAAGGCATGACTCTTGCTTCGAAGCTTTGTCCATCCAGCAGGGAGCGAAAGGTGAATGTTAACTCAACACATGAAACCTGGCTGGCTGTGGCCCTGGCTAATCCAAGTGGCTAGATCGCTGACCTTGGCTCAGGCACGGGATGGCTGAGAACGAACAAACTTCCCTCTTCAGAACTTCTATCAACAACAAGCAGTAGATTCGGGCTGCCGCTACACTCCTATACTTCTTTTATGGGCATTGGCACGCGCTGCTGAACGCATGCGAAGCGTTATGGTGATTCTGCAGCGTTTCAACCAGCATGCAACTTGACGCTGCTGAGCCAAGCCAGTCGTCCGGAACATCCTGACCCGAACACGTGAAGTTGCACACCCTAAAGTCAGCTGGCCCTGCAGTCACCTAAACAGGTCCCCTCAAGGTGGGCCAGCGCGAGTACCGTGGCCGTGCCTTCCTGATTGACAGAGGTTCTGGAATCTCAGCATGGAACTGCAAGCCCAGCCCGACTCCTTTGAACTGCTACTGCTACTCTGAAAACCATGATGACTCAATCCTGACCGCCAATCTAGGATCCAGGCATCATCTGCAAAGGTCGCAGAGAAGAGCATCGTTTGCCGGCGCCTGGGAATTTCCAATCAGCTTGCCTGGGCAAACTTGGGTCCTGCTATGCTTTACGTTTTCAATCAGATTTCTGGAAGCAAGCCTCAACTCCTATGCCAGGCACCTGGTTAAATCCCAACACTTTGAGCGACCAAAATTCTTGAGCATCTCACGGTGTCTCCACATCGCAGGTGATCTTTCGGATGTTTGAATCAAGACCTGCGCTGCCGAAGCCAACCCTTGGCAGGATCAAGGCATCAGCTCGAGCAAGGGAGTCGGAGCTCGTTGCTTACCATGCCAGAGTGGCAATTTTTCTCTCATGCCTGTCTGAAACCTACAAGTAGCTGGTTCGACCTCCTCGCAGAATGGCCAGAAATTCAAAAAAGTGGTTAAGCCAACTAGTCAGGGACTCAACGTTATTTGGCCCAACTATACCTGACTCACAAGACACCCATGTTATATAGTACGAGTAGATATGAGTCGATGCAACGGCCCGAATTAAAAAGTTCCACAAGAGGTAGGGTTGTAACTACGGTTGAAATAAGCAATAGAACCTGTCTTGCTAATCCTATCTTCTACCCTGATCTCCTTCCACAAAATTCCACAAAGATCAAGAGACGTGCCTTCACCAATCATGGCGTCGGCCTGGCAACCAGATACACCGACACTTGCATCCGACCTCTTTGATGCCACAGTTGCGAAAACGAGGGCAATTCAAAATTTCTGGTGGCGTCAGGCTTACAACTTACAGCTCTCCGACGCCTGACAGCAGTAATCAGGATGATTGATTGCACAGCCGGCTCAAGTGCAAGGTTTTCAAGCAGCCACATTGGCGCAACACATCTGGCGAATGCCCACATCAACAAGTCTCAGGCCAGAAGTTGGGAGCCACGTCGCAACTAAAAAGTAAGGTGGCATCACGCCCAAATGGACATACTCATCTTACAAACTACCAGCCTGAAGATCCGAAGTTTCAAGAGATCAAGAGATCGCCTGAATCCGGAATAGAGAAATCTCTGTCTCAAGTTGTGGAGCCCCCTATGCAAGATACGGGCTGGCTAGAATCCCTGGCTGTAGAAATTCAATCGAAGACGAGCTTTAAAAGTTTCACTAGGCCAAGAGGAAGATTGCGTTGCACATCTGGCTTAGAGCGGACGCGTCCTGGGATCCTTCGCAATCCGGAACCACTTACCCAGACAAGCAAATGTCTGGAAACCATCTTACTGTTACTTGCTAAGTACGGATACTCTGTACACAGGAC